GTGTGCTTCTTCCATGTGGGTTTGGTTGCTTCTGAGCTAGATGGCCGGTTGTTTGCCTTTAAGACCCCAGATGTTATATCTTTTGATAGCCGGGCACCATCAGCTTTCTTCACCACATTTACTTATGCACACATTTGTCTTCAGCGATCAGATCAGGGAGGTGAGAACACAATGATATGATTTTTTTGTTCTTTGATGCCTGATAGCTGATCCCTTCGGCACCTCATGATCACGCAGGCTGGTATGCTTCTTCCATGTGGGCCTTGTTGCTTCTGAGCTAGATGGCCATTTGTTTACCTTCAAGCCTTTAAGACCCCAGATGCTATATCTTTTGATACCTGGGCACCATCAGCTTTCTTCACCACATTTGCTTAGTCACCTGTTTTGTCTTGAGGCAGAGTATCTTGTAAGCAAATAATGGTCTTCCCTCTCTTGAATATGCCTAATTTGTTTCTATTTCAGGACTTTACACATACTGTTCTTACGTCTTGGGACACTGTCTCCTCTACCTCTGTCTGGCTACGTGTCCTTGTGTTGTGCTCCGCGAAGGGTCATCTTTTTAGAGCTGCCTTTTATGACTGCCTAGTCTAAGGAACCTCCTTCATTTTGTTCTCTTCAAGCCTCTAATGAGTGTCCCAGAAAACTTTGTTTTATTTTTTTTATTTGTTTTCCTCATTGAGCCATCTTTTTCACATGAACATCAGGGACCTTCTTATTCAGTACACTGTAGCTTCTACCAGTACCCACGATCTAAACAGACACTCTGTAAAAAATATTTGCTACATATATTTTCTGTGAATGAATTAAGACCATTCCATGTAGATTTAACATATCAACTTTAGAAGACTGTCTTACTCTTGGGAGTAACTGCATATATCATTTCATCTCCTAGCTCAGTCACATCAAGCAGGATTGTGCGATGCTACCAGATCAGTCTCTAACCTGTTTTCTTCTTGGGCTCCTCGGCACCGGCTCCCTTTTCCCCACCCTCCTCCCCAAGCATATCGACTTTGTTATTTCTTCAGTTCTGCTTTTGTAGGGTTTTTTTGTAATGCCATTATAACAATGTTTTCCCTTTTCTTTTGGCAGTTGTCTATTTCAAGCAGCAGTCGCACTGTGACACATGACATCCCCATAAAAGTTATTCCTAGAAAGCTGTGGAAGGATTTACAAGAGCCTACAGTTCCAGAATCTGATGTAAGTTGATGCCTGGAGTTTTGTTTTCCCACATATATTAAGTGGCGTGATTTGAATGCTTTAATTTCAGTTGTAGACCCATAGCATATTTCATTTGAAAATAGGATCATCCCCCAGAAGAAAGTGACATCTCTTCATTTCATTTTTTTAAAATTCTTAAGAAAAAGAATCAGAATATTTATTTTTATTTACATAGAATATCTCAAAACAATATTGTGTTTTGTCAAACATTTTAAAGCGGAAGAGAGAATATCTTCTTCAGTAATAGTACTTAACAGCAAACCAAAACTTAATACTGTGGAAGACAATTGCTATTTGTAAGGAATATTGGCCTTAGGTACCACTTACCTAGGACTCATGATTCCTGGAAGGAACAATGCCCAGGGTACATGTAAGAGAGGCAAGAGAAAAGAAGTTTTCATAGTTTGGACTTGGCTTAACAATCTGACTCATACTTATCTCAGAGCCACTAAAAATGAAGGTGATACCAAAGGGTTCTTTCTTCTTCAAAATTTATTTAAGAAGAAATGACATATATATGGATATATATCCAAATGGATAAAATATTTGCCTTTTTATCAAAGGGATCATGTATCAGGCATCATCAAAACTAAAAATCATATCATTGTGAATTAGGGGCAGTGAGGAGTGGAGACCCAAAGCCCATCGGTAGACAACTGGACATCCTCTTACAGAAGGGTCACAGGGAGGAGATGAGCCAGTCAGGGTGCAGTGTAGCAATGATGAAACATACAACTTTTCTCTAGTTCTTAAATGCTTCCTTCCCCCCCTCCCCCCCATCATGATCCCAATTCTACCTTACAAATCTGGCTAGACCAGAGGATGTACACTGGTACAGATAGGAACTGGAAACACAGGGAATCCAGGGTGGATGATCCCTTCAGGACCAGTGCTGAGAGTGGCAATACCAGGAGGGTGGAGGGAGGGTGAGATAGCAAGGGGGAACCGATTACAAGGATCTACATATAACCTCCGCCCTGGAGGGTGCACAACAGAAAAGTGGGTGAACGGAGACATCGGACAGTGTAAGACTTGACAAAATAATAATTTATAAATTATCAAGGGTTCATGAGGGAGGGGGTAGCAGGGAGAAAGGGGAGAAAATGAGCTGGTATCAAGGGCTCAAGTAGAAAGCAAATGTTTTGAGAATGATGATGGCAACAAAGGTACAAATGTGCTTGACACAATGGATGGATGTATGGATTGTGATAAGAGTTGTACAAGCCCCAGTAAAATGATTTTTAAAAAAATTTGCCCTTCAGTAAAAAGCATTTACCTTGATTTGGGAAAAGCTGGTATTTTATTAACCATCATTAATAATAGATTTAGCTCTGATGCTGTACTTTTGCCCTATACTCAAAAGGTCCCATTGAGCCCCAGCTGTAAACATCCCTTAGTGAAAGGCCTCCTTCTGAGTGTTGAGTTTTATTCCCCTTGGATTTACATAAGGTAATCGTAATTGAAGTGCTGTGAACTTCTGGAAACAGGAGAATGCCTCTAGGGACATGGTTGCTGAGGCAACTAGAGGTAGGCATTGGGTTCTTTAAGTTTGCTTATCGATCCATGAATTAGTACAATTATAAAATTGGGGCTCCCCCCCCCTACTGTTTTAAAAAGAGCTTTATTCATACCATTTAAAAACATAAGATTCCAGAGATTTTAATCATGCATACATTCCAAAAATTATTATTGATGACCCAATATTATTTTTGTGTCGATTAATATTGTCAGTACTTTTGATTTTTCACATTGCTTTCATAGGTTAGTATTTACTTACCAGTGCTGAAGACTATGAAGAGTGTTGTGGAAAAAATGAAAAATATTAGCAATCACCTTGTAAGTAGTTACTTCTTTAGAAAAGAACTTTAAGTATAGATAATATGTCATTTAATGTCCATGATATGTATGTGAAGACATTTAAAAGTTTGAAAAGGTCATGATCTTTTATTCCACTTTCTACCAACTTTTGGAAGTCTGCTCACATAGTATACATGTTTGTATATACTCCATAAGCATAGATCGTCACTAGCTCCCAGACAAGCTGCTCTGGTTCTCCTATATTTCCCGGAGCAAAGTTCAACTATCATTTACTGTTTCTGCGCAGGCGATGCTTTCCAAGTAGGTTCAAGCAACCTGGTCAGAGGAAAGGGATGCCCTGGGGATGGAGCTGAGTGGTCACAACCCACTATCTCCCTGTAGGCACCGACCTGTGGTGTGGCTAGTTAGTGCATTTGCCAGCCTGAACTAAGCTGTAGTTAGTTGTGAGGATACTGCACACTTGATGCTGGCCTATTTCCTGCTGTCCTTCCAAGCAAGCACACCCTCCCCATCTGTAGTACATGTGATTTGTCTTTTCGCACATGTGCATTGCACAGCGCATACCTGTATTTGTTGTAGTTTGCATAAGGTACTTTGTGGAGAAAATTAAATGTGTACCAAGGGATGCCTGTGGTATCATAGGTGAGAACCCCTTCACTGAGTCCAGACCAGTAAGAAACTGGCTTAAAAAAAAATAAAACAAAAACTGCACTGTTATAGTTGCCCTTAAAAACCTATTCTGGTGCTTTTCAACTCTCAGGTAGTTGGAAAAGCTTTTATCTTTTCCCTTAAGAATTACGAACAATAAAACAACAAACTTACTGCCACCAAGTTGATTATAGCAATCCTGTAAGAGGCTAGAGCTGCGCCTGCGGGTCTCTGAGAATTGTAATACTTTATGGGAGTAGAAAGTGCCATCTTTCGTCCCAGGTCGACTAGGGTTTTGATAAGCACCCCAACACATAACCCACTACTCTGCCAGGGTTCCTTACCCCTTAATATTTGTATTTATATTATGTTAAGAATATTTTCAGCAATCCTGGCTTTTTTCCTTATAGTTTGGACATAGAGTTATATATTTTGACTGCTACTGGGTAAATATTTTAGGACTTAATAATGCTGTTGACAATTTGGAGTCTCCATCTGCTTCCCAGATGTTTTACAGTGAGCCAAGACAAAGATTCTCACAGCCATACACATCCTTGTTCTAAGCAATTCTCAAATCAAGTTGATGAGTACTTTTATTTTCACATTTGTTTAATATTCACGGGCTTAGTAACTTCGAACATCTTAAAGTACAGACACTTCTTATTGTCAACCAGATAATAAAATGAAACAGAAGTCTACAAACCCATAAGTTATTCATAGTTCATTTTAGGTATTGTTGCTTTATAATGCTTTTCAGTTCTGTGAGGCTAATTTCATCATCACCTTTTCTCAGTCTTACTTAGAAAACTGACAGACATTTTGTACAGGAATGTTACCATCATTTTGTAAGAGCAGATACATTCAAGTGATGAAAAAAAAATCCCATGGTGCAAATACGGTGGAATAAAAATTCCACAGTGCAACATTCTTGGCCTTTTTCTCACCAATACAGTTTCAACTCTCTTAAAACGTCATAATAAACCTCTGTAATTGTCCTGTGTCCTTTGAGAAAAATCTGTCAAGATTGCTGTTGTGGTTAGGTGCTGTTGAAGTGGCTCCTAATGACCCAGTGTACAACAGAAACACTGCCTGCTTCCGTGCCATACCCACATGCTTATGTTTGAGCCCATTATCGCAGCCACTGTGTCAGTCCATCTCATTGAGGGCTTCCTGTTTTCCCTTGCCCCACCACCGTACCAAGCATGATGTCCTGCAGAGCTGCCCTCTCGAGACCATGTGCAAAGTTCATGAGATGAAGTCTCCATTTTTGCCTATCAGGAGCATTCTGACTACACTTCTTCCAACACAGATTTGTTGGTTCTTTTGGCAATCCATTGTATTTTTCAATATTGTTGGCTACCACCATAATTCAAATGCATCAACTCTAATATGGTCTGCCTTATTCAACGTCCAACTTTCACAAGCATACCTTATTCCTCAAAGTAGTACCGTTGCTTTTTAACACTTTAAAGAGGTCATATGCAATATATTTACCCCAAGCAAGGTGTCTTTTGATATCTTGACTGCTGTTTCCATGAGCATTGATTGTGGATCCAAGCAAGATAAAATCCTTGACAACTGCAAACTGTTCTCTGTTTATCATGGTATTACCTATTGTTCCAGTTTTGAGGATTTTGATTTTCTTTACACTGAGTTGTAATCCAAGGAGAAGGCGGCAATCCTCAATCTTCATCAAGTGCTTCAAATCTTCCTCACTTTCAGCAGGCAAGGTTGTATCATCTGGATATTACAGATTGTTAATCCCAATACAGCATTTTTCCTCCATTCCCGATACAGCACATTTTCCATATACTCTGGCTGCTCCGATTGTTTCTTTTCATATAGATAGAATATGATGAGAGGATACAGCCCTCACATACACATTTCCTAATTTAAAATTGCAGCACCCCCTTGTTCTGTGTATATAACTGCCTCTTGATCCATGTACAGTCCTTTGAGCACACGGAACTGTTCTGGAATTCCCCTCTTCTCAAGGCTATACATACTTTGTTATGCTTCACACAGTCAGATGCCTCTTTGTAGTCAGTAAAACACAAGTAAACATCTTCCTGTTATCCTCCACTGTCAGCCAAGATCCATTTGATCTATCAGCAGTGACATTCCTTGTTCCATGTCCTCTTCTGAAACTGGCTTGAACCTCTGGTAGCTCCATGTCCTCCATTTGCTTTAGCTACTCTATTATTAAAAGAGCAAGTTTCAGAGTCTTTTCTGACATCCACTTTGATCTTTTCTTTCTTTCTTGTCTTGTTAATGACCTTTTGCTTTCTTCGTGTCTGATGTTCTTGATGTCTTCCCTTAATGACAGCTCATCTTCTGTCATTAGTGTTCACTGATGGGTGGCTGGTGGTTTTGAACAGCCGACCTTGCAGCTAGCAGTCCAATGCCTAACCACTATGCCACCAGGGATTCTGATGCTAAATTTCACTCCAGATTCATTCAGCTACCCAGTTCTAAAGGAGCACTATGAATTGTCATTAACTGAGCTCAGTGAGTTTGGTTTTGGTTTTACCCCATATCACGAAAGAGTAGGTAGTAAAAAACGTGTTGGATGAATCTGGAGTGAAATTTAGCATCAGGATTTTAAGTTTTCTGAAGCATAGAAAACATAGGTTTGTTTGTTTGTTTGTTTTTCTCCTTAAGAGTTCTTATTTTAAAATAATGTTGCTATTGGATTTACCTGTTTTTCCTTCACAGTGTAATCTTTATATATTTTACTTGAATGTAAACTCTGCTTTCGACAGAGCTGTGTGCTCTGTGGCAGCCTGCGGCTGAAGTCCGTGTTGATTCAGTTGTCAGGCTAGCTTCCTTTAGGACCACTCTGGGGACTTCCGAGAGCCTCGCGGAGGCCCTAGGGAAAACAAACAGCAATTAATTGAAGTATTCCTTTGTTTGTTCTTTCTATTAAATGAGAATGAGTCAGCAAATTAGGGGAGCAGAAAGATAGAACCATCAGAAGTTTGTTTGTTTTTTCTTTTCTCTGGAGCATAGATTTCTAAACTTATTGAGCCTACCACTTTCTTTTCTGGGGGTGGGGTGGGGTGGGGTGGAACTGCTCATTGCCCACCTGGTAACTAACACATTTTGTACTATGGCCCATAATCTAGGATAAAATATAGGTGCCTGCTTTTTCAGCCCCTCTGGATTGCCCCACTATTCCCCTGGGGGTGTTATGGCCCATTTTGGGAAACACTGCCCTGGAGTGTTATCAAAGTACAGGAGAAATTAAGTACAGAGCTGGTATTTATCTGGATATCCAAAATTATATATCTATAGATCATGGACAGTTAGAAGTAAGGAAAATCAGTGGAATACGACTCACTAAGAATACCTACTTACCTCTTTTATTGAGCTTCTCAGGCCTTTCCTTCTACTATTAGGGATTGCTGATGGGGGCAGGCTGCATATGGGACTAGGCTAGAAGCAGTAAAACCACTCTGAAGCTACGTAATGTATTAAGATGATCATTTCTTAACTGCTAATGTATATCTGAACCCCCGAGGCTTGAGTGCCAATGCAGACTCTGATTCAGTAGAACCGTGAGCGTGTTTCTAACCAGCTTCCAGAGATGTGAGTCTGCCTGACTCTGCACTAACTGGAGTAGCCATGCTTGGAGATCTGTGAGTATCTCTTTCAAAACCCACGTCTCAGGATCAGCTAAACAATTTAGCCAAGAAGAGTTGGGCTTGTGGGTGAGAGACATCCTGATGTAGTCGACACAGGAGTGTGTGACGAGTCACAAAAACGTGGTTCACCTCCTGGCTTCACTGTGTAACTCTGTGCCCTGTTACTACAAACCTAATACTTAACAACCAGAAACGGGGATAATAATGTGACTATGTTTTTATAAATTCAGAAATGATGCATATGTGAGATGCCCAGTACCTTATATCAATAAATGATAGATAACTATTAAATAATATAAAACAGTAAGAATTTGTGAGAGCAGTGTGGACAGGAGGCCTATATCTGGCCTGCTCTGGCTTCCCTATTGCAGTGAGCTGGGGTCAGATATTCCTTCAACCTCCTTTACCTACTCTGACACCAGTTGTTCTTTCCACACCACTCTGCGTCTCTGCTGGGTTCAACAATTCCCTACAGTGGCCACCCAGAACTCACAGGTTAGCACAGTCAGGAAACAGTAAGGACCCAGTCCTTGGTCCACAGCAACATCTCTCCTTAGCCAATAGCCAAGTCTCTTTCTAGTCCTCAGCCACGTGGTCCCTTGGCCCCTGCCTCCATGAACCAGGAAGCCTGCCTGCGTGCCTCATAGTCCCTTTGTCTTGGCACAGCTCCTTTGTTTTACTTCACAGTTTCCTGCCTCAGCCTCTGGTGTTGGCCTGGCTTTGCTC